GTGTGTGAGTGTGTGAGAGTGTGAGTGTGTGAATGTGTGTGTGTGTGAGTGAGTGAGAGTGTGTGTGTGAGTGTGTGAGAGTGTGAGTGTGTGAATGTGTGTGTGTGTGAGTGAGTGAGAGTGTGTGTGTGTGACGCACTTGTTGTGCAGCTGTTGGTCCAGCAGTTGTCTCTGCAGGCGGCTGTTAGTTTCTCTCTCCTCCATCAGTTCTCTGTGTGTGTGTCGGTGCTGGACGTCTCGTCGACTCGCCTCTTCCTCGGCCTCGTTCAGCTGCCGCTTCAGTGAACGGATGCGCTGATTCATCTGAACACACACACAATAAAAAATAAATAAATAAAATAAGTAAAATTTATTTATATAGCACCTTTCACAGACAAGGAGTCACAAAGTGCTTTACAATAAAAATAAAATCAAACAAATTAAATAACAGCTGTTCTAATACTACATAAATTTAATAACCAACCATATTGTTACAAATTACACTTCTTAATAAATGTATTTTTCTATTCAACACAATTCAAACTTTTTTTCTTGTAATTGCATGTTTATAGCTTACAATTTACATTTGTGAGAGATAAACTCAAGAGTCATAACTGTGAATTTTTATTATTATTTATTTATTTATTTGAATTCTGTGGAGGGAACAAATTCCCCAATGATGTTTAATACTAAGTTTTGTGGTTTTGTTCAAACCACTAACACTACCTATGAGAACAGCACTACTAAATTTATTTTTCTCCGTTTAAAAAAAAAAAAATCACCGAAAAAAATGTGGGTATAAATCCCTGAGATCACATTGAATATCTGGGATTGAAAATATTAATTTCTATTTATTTCCAGCTTTAAATAAGAGATATTTCAAGAATGTTTCAATGTGCAGTAATTATACGCGAGTGAAAGAGTTCGGTTTAGTTTTTTTGTTGAATTCTCAAATTCATTATTTTCTAGTTTTTCACTCTTAATTCGTTTGATGAGTGTGTGTGATGTGATGTTGTGTCTCCCTCTGCTGGTGTGGATGTGTAATCTTCATCATACCAGCTCTCTCTGTTCGGTGGAGATCTTGTGCTCCTCCTCCATCTGCTCCATCAGCTCGTGGATCTTCTTCTCCAGTTTGCTGATGGTGTTGTTCATCACCACTTTATTCCTGAGGAGAATCACAGCCAACCCATCGTTCAGACTTACTGCAAACTGTTATTAGATGAAGTATTATTAGATATTATACAGATGAAGCGTGTGTGTCTGACCTCTCCTCGGTGCGCAGTGTGTTCTCCAGTTCTTTGGCTTTAATCTCGGCTCTGGTGATTGAGTCCACCTCCACTCTGTTATTCTGCAGCTCCTCCATCTCTCTGCGCAGATCCCGCAGCTGAACACACCATCAGCATCAGCATCAGCATCATTACAGCAGATACACTCATGAGTAACCAGTGTTGGGAAAGTTACTTTGGAAATCTAATAGGTTACAGATTACAAGTTACCCTGTCTAAAATGTAATAAGTAGTGCAACTATTTCAATTACTCTATTAAAGTAATGTAACTGATTACTTTTCTAAATTTATAATGTTTTCAATTTTCAAACATTTAAAGCAGGCAGGGTTAACCTTACAGTCGTATTCAACACTGATTATTACTGTCACTTTCGAAATCCTTTATTCCTTTGAATTAAGATTATAATCATTTAATTTTAAAGCACAGCCACTACAAAATCTTTTCACTTACTTTGAGATCATTCTGAGGTTAAATATAGATTTAAAACCATAACAACAGACACACACACACACACACACACACACACACACACACACACACACACAGAC